CTCTCCCAAACCCCTGGTCAGATGAAGGGCATGGGCACTGAGGAGACACAGCATCCAGGAGCCCTCCCCTCCCCTGAAAATGCCCTCTTACCACACAAGTAGATTCACCAAAAAAAAAAAAAATCTATGTACATTTCTAAAGACTGTCTTCATTGCTAGCCAAGCTGGAACCTGCTGAATGGGCGTGATGGGGTTTTGGATGGTTGGCAACTGGTTAAAGCATTCTTTTTCACCAGGGAAATTGAGACTTTGATTTTCCTTTGGGAGGCAAAAGAAATCCCAACTGTCTGCAAGTCCAGAGCACAGAAAATGAGCCCCTTCAGGCCAGCAGTCTGTGCACCATGTCGAATGTCTAGACGATACAGGTCTGTGTTTGCTCTGTGATTCACTTGGAAACCCCGACACGGATTAGTTTACCTGCTGTCCCAGGAATCCGGCTCTCAGGATCTACTCCTTGCCCCTCCTACCTGAGAATCTAGTTCACCCCTAGGCCTTTTCAGCTAGAGCAGACGGCTCAAACCTGGAAGCGCGCTGGGGGAGATGGACAGGTCTGCCTTAATATATTAACTTATTGGAGAATTTTTTTTTTAAAAAAAAAGAAGTCCCGTTTATTTTATTTATTTATTTATTTATTGACATTTATTTATTTATTTATTTATTTGTTTATTTATACAAGCACTGGGTACAGTCAGAAGCGCGGGAGGGTGAGAGAATTCACCAGAGCCAGAGCGGGGAGCAGAGCAGGCAGAGGGACCGAAGTACACTGCTGAGGGGAGCAGCCGGCAGCAGGGGAGGTCTACGTGCCATGTGGGACCCTCCTCCGGTGGCCGGGGAGCAGCCGGGGATCGAACCGGTGCTGCAGAGGCTGCAGGCAGCTTCGCAACCCAGCGCTCAACCGCTGCACCACCAGGGAGGCCCTATTGGAGAATCATTTTGAGGAAAATAGCAATGCTTCTCCTTATCTGATCAGGAGCAAAACAGTAAAGGAGAATGGAGGAGAGCTTCCCAAATATCTGCTCAGAGACCTTGGAGCAACACTCTCTTTTTCCCTCTCCCTCCATCCCTGGCCCCTTCAGTGCACTTCTAAATAGAGCTCCTTCCTCATTTTCTTCTCAAATTCTTCTGACCAGGGAAGGCAGAACAAGGAAAGGATTGCCCTAAAGGATGTGCTTTTTCTGACCTATGGTTTCTACTTTTGTTTCTGTGTCAGGTTAAGGAGAAGCCAGAAGCCTTTAACAGAATAGATTTTGCTGATGAGACTCCAGTCACAGGTCTCCAGATTGTGCAGGGAATACAAGGACCTGGGGAGACCTGTGTCACTGTGATTGCCCGTGCCCCAGCCCTGTCTCCCCATAGTCCGTGTGTTCTGCCCAGGGCCAGAGCCTCAGAATGGTGCGCTGGGCCAGGAACAGAGCTGCTAGTTCAGAAAGGCTTGGTTAGGATTGTCTCTGTGGGCTGTCTTCTTAGTCTTCCATTTTCGGCTGCCATCTGCTTCTCTGTGGCCAGACAAGCCCGTCCTGGGAAGGGCTGGTGATGGGGGTTAGGAGCAGGGAAACTGCCAGCTGTGTGCCCATCTCAACCCCTGGACTACTGTACTTAGGCTGAGAGAAGCTTATACCCACGCAGGATGGCAGGAACCCAGACTGTGGACAGAGGACGTAAAAGGACGAGGGGATTAGGAGAAGGTTTCCTGGCAGAGAGCCACACGTCGTGCCCCAGGGAAGAGCCTTCAGCTGGGGGTCTGAGCTCCTGTGAGCAGCATCCTCTGCGTGAGCAGCATGTGAGCAGCGTCCTCTCCTGTGAGCAGCATGCCTCTGCGTCCAGCCACTGTGGGACACAGGTGCAGAAAGGCCACCTTGAAAGGCACCAAGAGTGCTGACAAGAGTTAGCTCTGATCACACTGGAGAGACCCCCGTGTTCTCTCCTTGTAAAGACTTCCATATCAGTCCACTTTCCGCCAAGTGCATGTGTTGTCAAAATTCATGGAAAGGGGATTGGATTTGATGAAATATATAAGGAGACTCTTAAGACACTTCTACCCTACTGTGGTCTTAAGAAACTCCTCTCCTCAGAGGCCTGCAGCTGATTCCATCCTCAGTCCCTCTGCTCTAAGGTACCTCTATGCTAAGCCTTTTCTGCTTAGATCTGTCCTGCTCCCCAGTCCCTCAACCCTCCATATCTCCTGTGTCACCTTCACAGACACACACACACATACAGCCACAGGAACTGGCAAGTTCACATATGGGGAGCTTGATTTTACTTGTTTTCAGTGAAATCCTAAATCCTAATGAGTTCACCAGAGCTGGTGAGCACTTTCCTGTTTTTTTTTCTGGGATGGAAGTCAAAAACTGACACCCTGGGAGAAGAGTCTTTGACCAGTGTGACCGGGGGCTCTAAGGCAAGGATTGTGCAGCATCCCTGTGCACAGGGGTCCCCAGAGATAAGAAAGGCTTTGAGGCAGAAACCCATCCTCCAACTATGCTTCTTGAGCTTCATGGAATGTCATTCAGCTACTTTTGGGAAGAAATTAGGCTTTGAGAGACTTGACCTAATCCCTCTTCCTCTACTCCAGCCACAGAGCCCTGGCATTTATCAGGGAAAGTCTGGAGTCCTTTGCAGGGGTGTCACCTGGTCCTGTGGGTTCTAGGCTGTGGGGTCTCCCTGGTTTTGGCTAGAAGCTGGCGGGTATACTCCCTCTTTGAATGAGTACTATTGTGTACCTTCGCACTAATTCCACTCCTGGAGTTGTGAGTTTGTGAGTATATAATTGGAAGGAAGCTTAGACATCATCTAGTCTAACGTCACCCCATTTTATAGATGAACATACTGAGATCCAGAGAGAGAAAAACAGGCTTTCAGAGTCATTCTGCTACTTCCTGATGGTTCACAAGCCAGGTCTCCTGATTCTAGTACTGTTTCTCTTACTCTGTGCTGCCTTTGAAAGGTCATGAATCAATTACATCTCGCTTTACTTGTAGAAGATGACTTTAGTTTCCAAAGATAAAACTGTCAATCGGTCAAGGTCAGTCCTGAGACGACCAAGCTGTGTAACCCCTGTTAAGTGCAGGGATGGAAAGCAGAAAGGAGTAGGATGGGAGAAGGACTGGGGAGGGGTACGGGGGAGGAAGGCAGGTGGGTAGAGAGAGCAGGACAGGGAGGAGTTTGCACAGCTTGTTACTTCTCAGGGACATTTCCAGAGGGGAACCCATTTCTGGAAAAGAGACACCTGTAGTTCCTTGGAAGCCTTAAAACCTCAGCTAATCCATCTCTGAAAGGACCCCCTGGATAGCAGATGAACCAGGTTTCATCTCCATATAACTCACCAGGGCTTTCCTGAGATGACTTCAGTTGCATCAAGAAGAGCAGAATGTCCCAGGCTCACTATGAACACCTCCCCCTCTCCAGAGCTCACATTTCTTCAGCTCTGCCTGCCTTTCTTGTGGTGATGTCATTTAACATCCTGTGAGAGCCCCACGGTGAGCAATTGTGTGGTAAAACTGCGGTTAAAGTCTGAGCTCTCCTGTCCCAGAGGGCAGAGCCTTGTGTAGGGAAGGAAGAGGAGGATAGGGTTGACTGTGGCGGAGGAGCTACTGTGCTCCCGAGGCCTGCCATGCAGGCGTCACCTCACACAGAACCCGGGGGAACACCTTGAAGCAGGTCTTTCTTAGATGTAAGCTTTTGGAAGAGTTACTTTTGATGTTACTTGAAATTCTCAGAATAATGGGTGAGCCGCTGCTGTGTCCTTCAGCCTCCTGAAGGCGGTGAATGTTCTATGATGGATCTGCCTGAGCAAGGAGTAGAGAAAATTTTACATTTGCTTTGTCAAATGATTTCAAAGTTTCAGACTCTCTACCGCCAATCTTATTTACATCCAGAACTCAGAGAATCATGCACACTGGAATTACGGGCTGCCTTCTGGAAGGACAGTGGGGCGGTTGAGGGATGAGGGTAGATAGAGAACCTTCACTACATCATCCTTTGTGTATTTGAAACCATACTCACATGTTAATTGATTTAAAAATTTTTAAATTCAAAGACACTTTGAAAAACAACCATCTTGATAAAAAGAAGTTTTGTTTCTATATTAATTTTTAAAGCTTTAAAGTTGACGTGAACACTGATCATATATCTATGCTCCCCTTCTTGGTTGTGAATCGGAGAGCTGGAGGACCACAGACATTTCTTTTTCTTTTCTTTTTTTTAAAGATTTATTCATTCATGCATACAAGAGCTAGGGTACAGGCCAGAGATGGGGAGGGGTGCGGTAAGAAGATTCACCAGTGACAGAATGGGGACCAGAACAGGCAGACTAACCGAAACACACTGCTGAGGGGAGCAGCGGGTGAAACAGGAGAGGTCTGCCTCACCATGTGGGTTTCTCTCCGGCCAACCAGGGATCGAACTCATGCTGCAGAGGCTGCGGATTGCTTCGTAGTGCGATGCTTAAACCCTTGCACCACCAGGGAGGCCCGGCATTTCATCTAGTCACCATCGCACACGACATATACACAGCCCTCACAGATGAGGAAAATGAGGTTAAGAGAGGAGACAAGAGTGTCTGGAGAGGTTCCAGTGAGTTAGAGGCAGGCTTAAGCTAGGCTGCTTCTCCCCCCTCCGCCCTACTGCCTCTCAGGAATGACAACCACTGGGTTGGTTCCCTGGAGTTCTGTGGGAGATTCGTTCTCGTGAGTTCTGTGGGAGATTGGTTCTCGGTGAGTATATTTACTGCTTTCACTATTGAATATGCTGCCTCAGGCCTCTGATTGTTTCCGGTTGCATTTCTGTGACAGCAATGTGGGGAACATTTTACAAAGCTGAGGAGTGATAAAAGTTCCTTGCAATGAAATGCACAGACCTGACTGAGCAAATGATGTCTGAGAGCAGGATTTTTTTCTCTTGTCTTTTCCTTGCCTGGGGCAAATGCTCTTCTTGGAAAGGGGCCTGAAGACCTGGGAGCAGGAGGGGAGCCCTGCCTAACATCCTTGCGTATCTCCTTACAGAGTCATCAGCTATGAGTGCTGTCCTGGTTATGAAAAGGTCCCTGGAGAGAAGGGCTGCCCAGCAGGTGAGTGAGGCAGGCCTGGCCTGGGGGCATGGGTGGCGGAGGGACGGGGAGTACACAGACATGTTCAGGGCCTGAGCAGGCTTCCACGGGGTGAAGCTGGGTGGAATTTCTCCCCACAGACTCTTGGCTTCATGCGAGGGGTAGAGGTTGGAAGCTGGAAACTGGGGTTCCAGCACTGCCCCTTCTTGTTCACACTGACCCAAATAGGCTGGCGGAACAGACTCCAATTCCAACCTGCCTGTGCTGCCCTCATCACGCCCAGGCTCCTGGCCTTGCTGTCTTGGCTGGGAGGGATTCCAGAGACAGCCAGCATTTCAGACCAGCACTGCTGGAGAGCAGATGGGACAGACTTGGGCTTGGGCTGGGCTGGGAACGCCAAGCCACTCCCTCCTCCCTGTCAAAACTTGGCCCATTGGTGTTCCTGGGGGGAGGACGGCGGCAGGCCAGAGGCTCACCCAAAGTCAACAAAGGTGCCACGAAAGGCCACGCAGGGCCAAAGTCAGCATGGCACCTGTAGATTTATCAGGGCCTCAGTTCTGCACATCACCAGGGACTGTACAAGGGAGTTTTTTATAACTTTGAAATATTTGTTATGTTATTAGTTGAGAATGTGAGAGTGAGATTTAAAAGGAAGGCCGCGATTTAGCTGATGCCAAGGTTGTGAGGAGGGTGTGACTGGCGTGGACCGGGTCTGTGGAGTTACTGACCTAATGGAAGGACAGGGAGGACATGGAAGGGAAAAAGGAAGAATGACTTCAGAGCGGCAGCTCAACCTCTGAGCCTCATTTAACATTTATAGAAAATGGTAACCTCACTGTGTGAGCTTACAAGGCTCTTCTAAACCTCAGGCTACTTTTAGGAAATAATATTTTATTACTTGTAAATACACAAAGTACCACAAAGATTTATGAAGTTCTTTCATTCTGGTGGAACCCACTAGGGAACCAATTTCAACAACGAGATAAATCTGTAAGGCTGGTTGGTGATTAGGATTGTATTTCTGGTGTACATTCCTGCTGATTTTATCTAAATATCTGAACAAAAATTCTGCTCTGCTATAGTTAAAATGGTTAAAAATTAGCCATTAGTTGAGTTCAGGTAGGGAGGCATTTGTCCTAGGGAGCTGTTTTAAGAAACACTAACAAACTTTGGGCTCCGTAATGTCTTGGGCCTTCCCACGCTCTTCACCCACTGAGGCACTTCCCTCTCTGGCCAACAGGGAGGGGTTAGTCTGGTTGGGGTGGGCCCCACAGGTTCATCTCTCGTCTGTCCTCTGCCCCTGCAGCCTTGCCACTGTCAAACCTTTACGACACCCTGGGAGTAGTTGGCTCCACCACCACTCAGCTGTACACGGATCGCACAGATAAACTGAGGCCTGAGATGGAAGGACCCGGCAGCTTCACCATCTTTGCCCCAAGCAACGAGGCCTGGGCTTCCTTGTCAGCTGTGAGATGACTTCTTTCTGCTCAGGGGTCTCTTGCTGGGGCCGCCTTGCTTCCCAGAGGGTGGGCTTGTGGGCATAAGGAGAGGGACTCTAGGGATTTCCCCCATTAGGTGGAATGTTTTCTTGAGGCCTCAGATAAAGCCACGACCCTTAAGCTAAAATATACATGGCTGGGTGGCTTGCATGCCTCTCCCATTCAAATGAACATACAAACCTCCGTGCTTATCAAGGACGAGTCCTTTCCAGAATGGTGGCCTGGGGTCACAGGGCTTCAAAGACACATTTCCTAGGGTATCAAGGACCCATCTCTTGAACGTGGGGTCTGCAGCTTCCCAACTGTCCTTCCTTTTAGGAAGTGCTGGACTCCCTGGTAAGCAACGTCAACATCGAGCTGCTCAATGCCCTGCGCTACCACATGGTGGACAGACGGGTCCTGACGGACGACCTGAAGCACAACATGGCCCTCACCTCCATGTACCAGAACTCAAACATCCAGATCCACCACTATCCCAATGGGGTAGGGTTGTTCGGCATTGCCCTTTGCCCACTCTCTGCTCACTTGTGCTGGGTTTTGGTCCTCCAATAGAGAGAAGCTATAGAGAATCCTCTGCCTCCTGGAACTGCTTCTCCTCAAGCCTCAAGTTCCACAGCCTGTGGAAGCCACTTTCTGTACTGGGTGTTTCCTTCCTGGGGCTCTTAAGTCTGTGCTTCTGACGTCCTGATCTCTCATCCTCGCTTCTCGTCTGGCAGATCATAACCGTCAACTGTGCCCGACTGCTGAAAGCTGACCACCACGCCACCAACGGGGTGGTGCACCTCATCGATAAGGTCATCTCCACCACCACCAACAGTATCCAGCAGATCATCGAGATCGAGGACATCTTTGAGACCCTTCGGGTGAGGCCCGGGGAGGAGACCCAGCCCAGGGACACATAGCCATCCCAGAGGAGAGGAAGATGGCTTCATGTTCATGGGCATGTGGGGGACATGGAGCTGGTTCCCCACAAATGCCCATGAATATGTGGAATCCTCTCACCAGGACTGACCACTAGGAAACCTTGTAAACCTTTCCTGGAGTGTCCCTCTGCCTGCCTTCTCCTTTGTAGAGCTTTCCTTCCCTCTGCTCCTCTGGAATGTTCCATGGTTTGTGGCTGCAGCTGAATAACCCTTTGAGCCCTGGGCTGCTGAGCCCACCCTGGGGGTTCCAGAGGTGGGAGCGCCTTCCTCCCAGATGCTGGTTCCCCACGTGGGACTAGAATAAATGGCCTGCCAGGCTGCATGATGCTTCTGGGCTACCTGTCCCCACTAGGGGGCCCCTGCTCCAGCCTTGTACATGCTTCCCTGGAGCCCAGACCAGCAAAGGGGCCAGCAGCAGAGTGGACACAGGAGTCTGGGGCTCTCCTTCCCACCTGCCTGGTGACGGCTCAAGGGGCACAGGGATACTGTTTCCACCATCTGCCCAGTAGGCATCTTGTACATGTGGAGTGGCAAGAGGGCCTTCCTCGTGGCCATGGCTGCTCAGGAGGAAGTGGACTTAGGCTGCCCCGTCAGGGTTTTTGCCCTGATTCAAGAAGAACTTCCTGTCCACAAAGGATACCAAATAGGAGTGGGGTGGCTCCTCCCCTGGAGATCTCCAACAAAGAGAGGCAAACACCCATGGGCCCTGCTGGAATTGATATGGCCTCAGGGAGTGCTGTGGAGGGCTCATGGGACCTTGGGTTTCTAAGCTCTCCCCCCCTGCTTTCTTTCTGGGTCTGGCAGAGAGGGATGTTCCCACAGAGTTGGTGGTGTGTTTCCATTAATAGCAGTTGCTCCCCACTGAATAGCTCATCTTACTATTTTGGCTTGGCAAGTCTTCCTTCTCCCTCCTTCCCCTTTGACCCTTCCTAATGCCCATCTTGGCTTCTGCTAATCCCATACTTACTAAGTGCCAGGCATTATGATGGGGTAGAGAGGGGAACGAGACAGGCAAAGGTCTGCCCTGAATGTCCTGTTACATCCTTCTGGAGAGACAGACAAGAAGCAGACCAGGTAGCCTCAGGTTATGCCAAGCATGAGATCAGTAAGTGGTGGGTCCTTCCTGGGGGGAGGCCAGTCAGGATTGCCTGGCAGGGCAGGGCTCTCTGGAAAGAATGGCTATTGAGCTGAGGCCTGAGCATGAGGCCAGTTACACAAAACGCAAGGATGAAGCACTCCCAGTAGAAGAGAGAGCAAAAATAAAGGCTGAGGGTCAGGATCCACAAGTTGACGAGCCGGGCCAGAGCCAAGATCACTAAGGAGCCAGAAGGAACCAGCTTCTTGCCAGCAGGCCCAGAGTCCGCCTCCATCCTAAGCATGGCAGGAAGCTGTTCAGGCTTTTAGACCATATTCTGGCTGCTCTGTAGAAGGTGGTTATGTGATCTCATGGGCTCAGTCACATCATTTTTACCCGGTAACTAATGACTATGAGAGAAGGACAGCATTTTCTTCTGGGGGTGGGATGGGGCTAGAGGGTCAATCTCAAGTTGACCACCTTAGAGAGAGAAAGGATATTTTCGCCAAGACCCAAAGAAGGAACGGGAGCAAGGGAAACAGGGTTCAAGGCAGAGGGAATGGCAGAGGCAAAGCCCGGAGGTGGGAAGCAGTAGGGCACCAGAGGTAACAGGGAGATGGCCCTGTGGCTGGAGCTCAGTACTGGCAAGGCCTTGGGAGGACATGGGGAGAATGAGCTTTGGTTCTGTTTTTCTATTCATCTCAGGCTTCTACAAAAGCATGGAGCTCCCCCAAAGGAGTATTGGCGAGGTTGTATATGCATCTTGTCTGCAGGGAGCCCCAGAGTTTTTGGGGAAAGCTCCATCTTGTCCTCTCCCCTCCCAACAGGCTGCTGTGGCTGCATCAGGGCTCAACACCCAGCTCGAAGGGGATGGCCCCTTCACACTCTTGGCCCCCACAAATGAGGCCTTTGAGAAGATCCCTGCTGAGACCTTGAACCGGATTCTGGGTGACCCGGAGGCCCTGCGAGGTGAGCACCCTCAGCTCCTGCGGGCGCCTCATACGAGTGGCCAGGCTGAGCCCAATACCTGCAGTGATCCAGACAGACTGCCACCCACCTTCCATCCCCTTACCCCCAGCCCTGATGCAGCGGCCAGAGCAGAACCCTGTTCACATGAGCGGGCGTGGAATCCAGCAATGTTTGTGTGGGGACACACTTGCGCTGAGGAGGGAGGCAGAGTTGGTGGTCCAGAGCAGGCCTTGGCTGCTCAGAAAGTATAACAGGCCAAGTATAGGGAGAGCAAAGCAGGTCCTGGCATCCTAGAAGTGGAATCATCTGGCTGACCCTTGCACTCTTGCTCTGTCTGGCCAGGGGCCTCATCCAAAATTACAGTTAAAAGCCAGTTACAATCATCTCTTGTTTCCTTTTGCTGGGTCTTCCTCAGTGACCCACTAAGTTAAGTGCTGCCTTGATTATTACTGGAGCTGAGGACAGGAGCAAGTGGGAGCAAGGATAGGAGGGGAAGCTGGTCCCCGTACCCTCCACTTCAACTCCAAGGCCCTCTGTTCGGGGCTGTCGCCAGCAGTCAAAGGGCCAGGAGTCCACCACCCACCGTCTCCTGCTGTCTCTAGTGAGCTGACAGACTAGCCCGAAGCAGTGGGGCTAGTGTGCCCCTTTAAAGACTCACTGTCAGCCCTGGGCCTGCTCACCCTTGGAGTGACCCTGGCAGATCGCCCTACTCCACTTTGGCCTCCAGTTTCCTTCTCCGAGAGGAAGAAAGGACTTGAGAGAAAAGACTCCAGTGTCCAGTCCTTTCTTTCCCCCACTGGCCAAATCCAGCCAGCACTCGCTTTCAAAGCTCTTGCCACTTCTCTAGGAGCCTGTACTGCTGCGGGGCCTCCAAGCTTCCTCTTGTCTGTGACAGTGCGGTTTTGGTTCCCACACTCTGGACAAATTGAAACTTGCCTCTGGTGAGAATGCAAGACAAAGGGCTGTGGGGAGCAGCAGTCAGGAACCTGCTCTGCCTGGTGGGGCTGGGGGCACGTCCCAACTGTTCCTCCAGCTACCTCTGGTGCTACCCCAACCCCTACCCTGTCCCTAACCCAGCACCTGGATGAGTAAATAAGTATTGCATTTATTTTTATTTTTTTTTTTTAAAGATTTTATTTTTTTTATTTTTATTTATGCAAGCACTGGGTACAGTCAGAAGCGCGTGAGGGTGAGAGAATTCACCAGAGGCAGAGCGGGGAGCAGAGCAGGCAGAAGGACCGAAGCACACTGCTGAGGGGAGCAGCAGGCGGCAGGAGAGGTCTGCACGCCATGTGGGACCCTCCTCCCGTGGCCGGGGAGCAGCCGGGGATCGAACCCGCGCTGCAGAGGCTGCGGGCAGCTTTGCAACCCGGCGCTCAACCACTGCGCCACCGGGGAGGCCCAAGTATTGCATTTATGATATATGGGTGGGGGTGGAAGGGATCTAACTGATCACCATCCCCAACCCCTAAAAGAAACTCTGGCAGCTGATAGGGCCTTGGGTACAATGAGCAAAAACAAAATGTAGAAATAATTCAAAACTGTCATTTGCTATACTTTTCATCTTTTCATTTGTATAAAGGTCAATAGCTGAAACATCCCAGGGTGAACTCATTTCCCATATCCTTGAAGGTCAAGTACTAATAAGTGACCTCCTAACATTGGTTGGGCATTTACTCTGTTGTCAGGCACTGTATGGGGCGCCTTACATTCGGGATGTCATGTTATCCTTCCACCAGCCCAGGGAAGATGAGTGCTTATCTCATCACTACTTATCTGATGAGGCAGTTGAAACTCAGAGTCTTGTCTTGCCCAGAGTCCCAGAGCTGGCAGGTGGCTAAGCTGAGATGCAGTCAGGCAATCTGAGAGAAGCCCCACCAGATCTGACAGGAGGTGGGAGAGGAGCAGGATCTAGGCCCTGGGGTGCCCAGCCCTGTCTGAAGGTCAGCATCAGAGAGAGTGGAATGCTTGCCATAGCCAGCAGGTCCCAAACTGGCCACTGAGGTCAGCCTGCAATGGGCCCTGACTCCACCCCTGTCCTGTTTGGCCTCCAGACCTGCTGAACAATCACATCCTGAAGACAGCCATGTGTGCAGAAGCCATTGTCGCAGGGATGTCTGTGGAGACCCTGGAGGGCACTACGCTAGAGGTGGGCTGCAGTGGGGAAAAGCTCACCATCAATGGGAAGGCCATCATCTCCAATAAAGATGTCATGGCCACCAACGGTGTGATCCACTTAGTTGACGAGCTGCTCATCCCTGACTCAGGTAAGCCATGCCACCATCCGAGATGGCTCACCAGGACCTCTTCCCCTCCTACCCCCACCACATAGCCTTCTAGCAGAGAAAGCCTGGGTGCCAAGAGGGTGGAGGTCAGATTGTGAGGCGACTCAACCTGCAGGCATGAAATTACAGGCACTGTCTTGGAGGCAGTAGGGAGCCATGGGAGGTGTCTGGGAGGGAGTGGCCAGTCGAGAGGCTTTCAGATCTGCCTGCTCTGGTTGGCACCCATAGCACCCTGCTGACTTCAGAGCATTTCCTTTCTCAGGGGTGCCCAAGCCATCCAAATGTCATTGACCTAGGGGAAATGACTGAGTGGACTTTAGCATGTTTCGTTCAGCTTTCTAGTCCCATTCTGGAATTCCAGGGAGGGCCATGCCCAGGAGTGAGGGAATTTCACAGGAAATAAACCAAAACAGAACAGCATTCTTTCTATGGCTGTGGTCACAAGCAACATCTACCTTCCAGCAGCTGTGACACAGAGAGTGTCCCCAGAGTCAGACAGTGCCCTGACCAAGGCTTGGGCATGGAGGATGACCTTTGCAAAGTGAACGTCACCTCACTCCCCAGGCCAGTGAGATTTTCTGGGCAACTGTTCCCTCAATGACACAAGCCCGTTGTGCCACAGCGGCGTTCAGAGGGGTTGTTGACTCACGAGGTGACATTCCTGTTGATATGTGTCATGCTCTGGGTGGACGAATGATAAATGAAAACAGCACTTTTAACTTTTGAACCCACTGTCTTGTTCCTTGTAGCCAAGACGGTATTTGAGTTGGCCATGGAGTCTGACGTTTCCACAGCCATTGACCTTTACAGACAAGCCGGCCTTGGCACTCATCTCTCCGGAAATGAGCGGGTGACACTCCTGGCCCCCCTGAATTCTGTATTCAAAGGTAACATGGGGGAGACATCCCTGTTGCTTTGTCTCCGGGGGCAGCTGCCTCACGGCTGTCAGCTCCTCCACTCTCTCCAATTTACAGCACCCCGTGGAACCTTAGCGCTTCCACCCAGCTCAACTAAAAGCAGATGTGACTTCATCAGAAACTTCTGTTGTTTCATTTGGCAGAGCAGAACAGGCATTTGGGGATCTGGTGCTCGGAATTTCAGAATTTGCATCTGTCAAGAGAGTGGAACACTCCCTCATTTTTTTTTTTTCGGGGTCTATTGCCAAGGTGATAGCAGGAGGTCAGAGTGAGGGTGCAGCCGTGCGAGGGCAGAGGCGGCCCGTGTGGCTCTGCACCTTCAGGGCAGGGCTCCAACACTCTCAGTTATCTGCACCTTTTCTTGTTTTTAATTTGCAGAGGATGCCAGATGTTCAAGAGTATTGGCGGCCTTGCTTGATTTCTCAACCTCCATTTCCAAACCCGCGGAGGGGAGGGCGGGGCTTCTCACTATATTTGTGTCTCGTTCTCTCATCTCCAGAGCATGCTGTGGACCTGCCATGCCTTCTCTTGCAGATGGAGCTCCGCCTGTTGATGCCAATACCAAGAATTTGCTTCTGAACCATGTGATTAAAGATCAGCTGGCCTCCAAATATCTGTACCATGGACAGACCCTGGATACCCTGGGTGGCAAAAAACTTAGAGTTTTTGTTTATCGCAATGTAAGTTCTAGGTCCTCATTGTTTTGTGCTCCTTCTTTGGCTCACCTTTAAGAAATGTTAGTGTAAACAAACAATAAGCAGGCACTTACCTGAGAATTGGTTTCTAGGAAGGAAAGAATTAATCTCCGGATATAGGGGATACGGAAATAGGGTCCTGCATAAGGATTAGAATCTTCTTTCCTAAGCGCCTTTGGGAAGAGCCCGCACACCTGTGTGCCCTGGCAGCATCAGCAGCATCCACCTTGAATGCAGAGGGACAGACAGAGGGAGGAGGCATGGAGGTCTTGAATTCTTAGTTTAAATGAGAACTATGGGGACTCAATCTGAGGGGGTGGGGGGAAGCAAATACTGTCAAAAAATTTTAAAGGAAAAAAAAATACAATACATAAATAGATAAATGAGAAGAAGCTATGCAGCATGGCCCTCCTTGATCAGAAAGGTTCTCTTTTCTCTTATCTCTTCTGTCTCTTTAAGCCCACAGCTACCTTAGAATATCAAACAGGAAGCACAACACCACATGGCCCTTGCCTGGGACCCACTAGCAGCGCTATAGTCAGTGAATTGTTTATTTGATTGTTGGTGACAGGGCCCGCATCTAACAGGATATTCTCATCATGGTGTCTCTGTGCGACTTTACTGGGGCCTCTATGGCCATGCTTTCTTTAGGGAGCACCACTTACTGGAGAAAACACACTATTTTATTTTAGTCTTAAAGACCCATCCAAGGGGCCTCCCTTGGTGGCGCAGCGGCTGAGCACTGGGTTGCGAAGCTGCCCGCAACCTCTGCAGCGCTGGTTCGATTCCCAGCTGCTCCCCGGCCACCGGAGGAGGGTCCCACATGGCGCGCAGACCTCTCCTGCCGCCCGCTGCTCCCCTCAGCAGTGTACTTTGGTCCTTCTGCCTGCTCTGCTCCCCGCTCTGGCTCTGGTGAATCCTCTCACCCTCCCATGCTTCTGACTATACCCAGTGCTTGTATAAATAAATAAACAAATCTTTAAAAAAAATTATTAAAAAAAAGACCCATCCCAATATTTATTCATGGATAAGTGTTGTCAGCACAGACCCCAAACAAATCAGGAGGTCCCTGATGTCGGGGGGTAACCTGTCCTTTCTTGGCCCCCCTTCCGCACAGAGCTTGTGCATCGAGAACAGCTGCATCGCTGCCCACGACAAGAGGGGGAGGTATGGGACTCTGTTCACCATGGACCGGGTGCTGACACCTCCGATGGGGACCGTCATGGACATCCTGAAAGGCGACAGTCGCTTCAGGTAAGCAGCCCCGCCTCACCCTGTGGTCATGCTGGGGCAGGACGCCGGGTCTCAGCTGTTTGTCAGCTTCCCCCGACTGCAGGGTAACATGGTGGCTCTTTCGTAACCTTCCAGGCTTGGGCTGTAGAAAGAATGAGGGTCACCTTGAAAGCTCAAGTTGAGAAAGTTTTCTGGGTGTGTGAGCCTCACATCCAGAGGGAACAGGGAATGGGGATTGCATTGTTACTACAGAAGTGCAAGGAAAACATCATACTTTTATCCTAAAGTCCCAAGTAGGCAAAGCGCACTTGGTTCTAAGTGTGTGATGGGTCTGTCACTGCCTGCAGTGGCTGCTTAACGCACCTGCAGCTTTTCTCGGGCTCCCAACTCACTTCGTTTTCTTGCCCTGCTCTCTCCATGCCAACTGGCTTGCTCATGGGTGCTGTCATGTTGAATGCTTCCTGCCCCTGAGTTTAGCTCCCTGGGGGGCCACCCACACCCTGCCCTCCCCAGAGTCCCATCCCCAGGGCCCAGTGGCTCAGCCAGGCTCTGGGTCTGCCATGCCTCTGACCAGTCCCCACCCCACCCTCCACCCCCCAGCCTCTGACTTCTAGCCATTCAGCTGAGCTTAGCCTTTATGGAGGGAGATGACTGGCCTCTTTGCCTCTTTGTGCAGGGGGACGGGGTGAGAACCAACAAGGGGTGGGAACCCCAGTGACCCGGGCACCACCTGCCCCAGAGGTGAGGAGGTACTTGGGAGATGGCGACCCTCTCCCACCACAGATGACGTTTTCTGTGTATCCGTAGCATGCTGGTAGCCGCCATCCAGACTGCAGGGCTGACGGAAACGCTCAACCGGGAAGGGGTCTACACAGTCTTTGCGCCCACTGACGAAGCCTTCCAAGCCATGGAGCCAGAAGAACGGAACAAACTCTTGGGTAAAGACCAACTGAAGCACATGTGCACTTCCTTAAAGTACCCACATGGGTTTGGTCCTCACAGGAGGTAGCTGCATGTTACAAAGGATTTGGTGAAAAGGAATTTAAAGGCAAGATTGCAGAGGTGTGGTCAGGGTGAAGGGAACCAGCGAGACCTGATGACATCCATGGACGAGCAGCCACCCAGGGACCAGGGAGAGCTGGTGCCTTGGGGGAGGGGCAAAGGGCAGCGGCCAGAGCCAGATGCAGCTGCTGTCAGGTCCTGGCAAGGAGGCCGGCATGCCCTCAGCCTCCCTCTCCTGCCATGTACCCGTTGCTGACCAGGCTCCTGTCTGCTGATTACAGGAGGGCAGGGGGCCTGCATGATGCCGTTTACAGCAGTCAGCTTCCCTGGGCACCAACCAGGCAGAAAGAAGTAGAGAGGAACTGAGCGTGGAGAACCACCAACCCCTTCGCTGAGGGGCTGATAAAGAAGCCTTTTGCTGCATCAGGTGTCCCGGGATAAAAGCTTTACCAAGAAGCTGGTCAGGCCCTGAGACAAGTAGTTGAGGCCTCCTCGTGGTTAAGAGTTTGGACTCCCAGGTTACCCAAAAGCTGGTTTACATCCCAGCTCTAGCATTTACCACTTGAGTGGCCCCTAGCCAGTTGCTTCAGCTCACTGAATCTCAGTTTCCTCACTAGAAAAAGGAGTGGTAAGAGTACCTTGCTCAGTGTGTTGTGAGGAATAAATGAGCTCAGAGCATCCTTGTCAGCGATGACCAAGATGATGGGGAGGCAGGATGGAGTTCAGTGTTCAACTCTGATGATGCCCATAAGAGACACTTCCACCTCTCACAGAAAACTGAGTCTGAGGAGAAGGAGGAAGGACCTTGATAGGGCCCCACATCAGGGACAGCTCCCTTCCCACTCTGATGCAGGAGCATAGAGCATTCAGGCCGCTGGCAGCTGTGAGCCAAATTTGTGTCCTGTTTAATTTTCTTCACTGCTGCCCAAATGCCTATGTCTCTGATGCTGACGTATGTTCCTGAGAAGAGGGGAGAAGTTCATTTGGAACATAAACTTTCCATCCTCTCCCTGTCCAACAGGAATGGAATATTCCCCAGGTGGCCTGGGCCTGCTCGGCTAGCCTTTCATTTTCAATTATGTGGGAGTAGAGGAGGGGCATGGCCAAAGCTTCCCAAACCCTGCCTCCCCAGCGCTCCTGGCACCCAGGTGATAGGGACCTCAGAAGAAGGCCCTTCACACCACCCAAAGCCTGGCCAGTCTCAGTGCCTCCAGGCCATATTTTTGTGGAAGGGGAACTCCTCTCAGCTCCAGGTTGTGGGTGTTTAGAAATCCTTAGGTACCTGGTGTCCCCATTCCATGGCACTAACGTGGGCTTGTCAGTAACCTAATGAACTCTCCAGAATGCTTTAAAACTTCCTTCATCCTCAGTTTCAAGATGCTAGAAATAACCATCCACAAGCCTTGGGGAAATCCAGCCATTTGGCTGGTAATGTGAGTATCAGGGGCTGCCTCGACAGAGAGGAGAAGGCAGCTGGCAGCTTTGAGAAGTGCCTCCTACACTTAATTTGGGAAATGCCTGTGCACCTTTGTGAGTAATCGCAAGCTTTCCCCAGTTGGTGGAGAGGCTGCTGTGGGCTGGAAAGAATGCTGAGACTTGCGGGGGAGGGATGCTGCGGAGGGGATGCCCCCCTCAGCCCTGATCTCATCGGCTCCAGGGCTCCTCCAGAGTACAGCTGTTGACTCTTTCAAGTCCTCCCTTCAGGAAACAGCCGTCTCAGAATATGCATTTGAGGGTAGAATGTGTAAATATTTCACGACTGTTATAACTGTCGGGAGCCATGCTGATGATGAAATGTCCCAGATGCCGGGGCTGGAAAGGTCCCTGGCTTTCCAAGCAAATATTTAGTTCATGGAACATGAGTCAGACTCACGAAGCAGTATGGATTAACTCCTTCTCAGCATCACAGGGCTCTCATACTTCACTCAGCAGCCCACTGACTGCAGGGGAGATCCGTGGCTACAGGCATGTGCTTGTATCCCAGACTGGTAGGCAGTTGGTGGGTCAAAGGGCTGAGCATCCAGTGGGTGCTCAGTGAGCGCTATTTCCTGGACAGAGAGTTCTCCATCTTAGGGGTGCCCATTTGCATGTTCTGGAGGCTTTCCTTGACCATACCAATCACCAACCTTTGCATTAATTCACTCTCCATGTTTCTCACAAATCCGCAGGCAATGCCAAAGAACTTGCCAATATTCTGAAATACCACATTGGTGACGAAATCCTGGTCAGTGGAGGCATTGGGGCCCTGGTGCGGCTGAAGTCTCTCCAAGGCGACAAGCTGGAAGTCAGCTCAGTGAGTGCATCTGAAAATAAAAAGGCTGGCTGTGTCCTACCACCAGGTTTCCAGGGCACAGCCTTCCCCTGCACAACACTCAAAACACACACAAACACACACACACACAGCCTCAGAGATGCATTTTGAATCTCTGATTGTATTTTGTCCAAAGAAAGAGAGAAAAGTGCTTTCAGGGAATTCAAGAGAGATTGCAGTTAGACATGAGTAAGGTCCTCCAGATCTGTGGAGGAATAAAGCATCTGTTTGGCATCCGAGAGAAGCTATTAGCATTTTCTTCCCTTAAGGAGATGATAGGCAATTACTCATGTGTTTTGAGAGATCAATCCCCAACCCTCTTCTTACCACCCCCCACACCAAGGGACTCACTGAGCTACACCCTGAGCCAGGTCACCCCAAGAGGTGTTTTTTTCTGCAAGTTAATGATACTGGTTCTACTATGGAGCTGGTTCAGAGGGTCTCTACCTTGAGAGGAAGAATAGACAGCTTCCATTGCCACCCTGGCTGCTCCAGCCAAGGCCACTGACTGCCCCTGGGTTGGGGCCACTCTAGCAGTCTGTGGCTCGGTTTCTGCTCCCTACTGCTCTGGCCTGACCTTCAGTCATGCCTTTGCTCACTGGTTTCTCTTGAGTGTGGGAAGTCAGAGACATGAATAACTTGTTTGACATTGTCATGTCCCCTAAGAATTTTCTAGCTCCTAGATTTGGGTATTGGGGTCCTGTCTGTCACAGGCTTCAGTTCTCCCTGCACCCTGGGATCTGTCACATGGGTCATTCAGGTAAGCCTGAGATAGATTCACCCTGGATGGGTAAGGAAATTTGAGATGGGGCATTGAGAAGTAGAAAGAGCCTGTCACCCAGCACCTGAGGCTGGCCTCAGTTCCCAGATGTCACACCTGCTAAGGCCAGTGGCCTCTCCTGAGTCTCAGTTTTCTGTTAAGTGGGACATTATCTGCCACCATAACACACTTTTGGGAGGACTAAGTAAATAACACAGAAGAGGATTTTGTGAATTATAGTAGGCTGTGTCGTCTACGCAAGGAACAAGAATAAATCCCCAGAATGAAGGTCTGCAGCAGGCAAGGACTGTTCTATTCCCCAGAGTGTCCCCAACACTTAGCACAGGATCTGGCATGGCATCTAGAAATGCCAGTAAACATTCACTGAATGAATACAATAAATATGCACTATAATCAGCAATTCTTCTGTCTTTTTCTCCTAGAAAAACAATGCAGTGTGTGTCAATAAGGAGCCTGTCGCTGAGGTTGATATCATGGCCACTAATGGCGTGGTCCATGCTATCTCCAGTGTTCTGCAGCCACCAGGTAAAGTCCTGCAGCTATTACCTTCCACTGAGTCTGCCTCTAGAAGGTATTACCTTCTCAATGTGTGGCCTCTAGGGCATGATAGAAAAGTTGCCCTTAGCAGAGATAAAAATAATATGTGACACTCTTATGGAGCCCCATGGCCGGCATCATTGTGGCTGGTTGAAGCAAAGTAGGAACTTGGTTTCAAATGCACAATGACACGGCATTCCAGCACACATTACCCCTTACTGGATCGCCTGCAGCTCTGCTCAGACATAGCCCAGTTGTTTGTTACATGTGGATACTGTGGACATGGTTCAAAGCACCCCTCTTACAGTATCTCACCTCTTGTAAGCTCTCTTTGCCTACCATGAAATTCAGCTTGAGTCTAGCTTCTGTCCTTTCTTGTGTATTCACCATTCTTTGAGCTCTGTCCCCATGGGTCAAATTCCACCATGAGTTAAGAAGAGTTATAAAAGAAAAATTCACTGAAAATGTGAGCCAGAAAGTCCCACAGTGCCCTCAGTCATGTTTTTGTGAAGGCATGCTAATATTTTCTCTCTCACCCAAGCTGCTTTTTCTTTCCTCTCCAGCCAACAGACCTCAGGAACGAGGGGATGAACTTGCAGACTCTGCGTTTGAAATCTTCAAACAGGCATCAGCATTTTCCAGGGTAAGATGCATGCCAGGCTTGCCTCTGGCCTAAGCAGCTGGGGAGGTCTTCTGCTTAGGTCCGGGGCAGGGGCTTCCTGAACCTTTGTCTTCCTTGACTGTTCTCCCAAAGCTCTCTCTAAACTTCTCCCTACTCCCTTTAGGATATCCTTAGCTGTAACCTGTGTGGTGTTCAGAGAAAAGAAGCCTGGAAGCTCCTGCTTCCTTTTTGGGCAAAAGCCCAGGCCTTTAAACTAAGGCCTATGAAGCTCAGTCCATGGGAAAGCCACTGCTGGTGAGAATAGATAGAATTCTGGAATCCATGTATCCAGGAAGGGAAAATGATTCTGAATCTGCCTTATGGTGGCCTGGATTGCCCTGCACTTTTCTATTTTCTATGACATTTCCCATCTTGGGTCCTGGTGGGCTCTCCTGAGCAGTGGTGTGGATCCTGGATACATGGTACTGAGCCAGCTATGTGTGTGGACCTCCCTTTCCACCTCCCACTCAGAACTTCTGGCTTTTCTGTGCTTTTCTTCCTGCTCACCAACTTTCCCAGGGCCCAGGAGCCCCACTCAGGCTCTTTTGCTGCTTGGGATCAGGCAGAGCCCCTTAGGAATATGGGGTGCCTTGCAGAAGGTTTCCAGAGAAGAACCTGCAGAAGGCAGACCAGAACACAGAGCTGGAATATGTCCCTTTTCCTTGGACCAGAAGGCTCTCTCTAGTGCCTCTCAAGAAGAGTTCTTCACCCTGAGCAGCTGCTCCTGAGAGTCAGCCACTGTGCCCTCCCAGCTCCTCAAACCCTAGGCTGTAGTCTTAGCGAAAGCTCAGCTTCAAGGAATGTCCTCCTCAGACTCCTTGTGATGCAGCTTGCACATCACTGAGGGCTGCAAGCCCAGCTGAGGCGCTCCCCAGGGCCCAGCAGTTACCTTCTTCTTCTTTACCCACAGAATTTTTTATGAGTAGGGGTGGCAATGGGCAAAGCCACTGCCATTAGCAGGTGCAGGTATAAGTTTCTCTAGAAAACCTGACACCTTGTGTTTTCTTTCAGGCTTCCCAGACCTCTGTGAAACTAGGTAAGTCTGGTCTGACTTGAAGTCTCTGTAGGCTCCTTGGGCCTTACCCCCAAGCAGGCCCAAGTCTGCCATCTGCTGTATAGAGATAAGAACGTCATGGTGAATGAAACAAGCCTCACCTTTGGGGCCAGACGGAATATCCCTTTCCCTTCTCCATAAGATGGAGCCTGGGAACATTGCACAGGAACTTGGCAGGACCCCGTGGTGAGGACATGGTTACAAGTGGGTAGATCTAGAAAATCACAGTTCAGAACTTCAGATACTGAGTCAATATGAAATTTCACAGACCAAAAGCACCTGCTATAGAGGAAAGTATGGCAGAAGGAGGATGCTTGGACCTCATCTCATGATTCTTACAGCATCCCAGACAAAGGGAAGTCTGCATCTTTTTTGACCTTTCAAACTTCTCTCTTCCAGCCCCGGTCTATCAGCGGTTATTAGAGAGGATGAAGCACTAGTGCAAGGACCGCAGGAAGAATACACTTCGGTAGCTCCCGCCAATTTCTCTCAGTTTGCCAAAGAGACTGAATGTTTTTGAAACCAAATATCACACTTCAATGTACATGGGCCACACACTATAATGAGATCTGAGCCTTGGGTGAGTGGGGGGGGGGGGAGGGAGACAGAGAGACATGTATTTCCCCGACTCCTAAAACATGGCTGTTAACCCACCGCATGCAGAGACCTGGATGTTGCTGCTTAGCATTCACTTCCAGAGAGGACCTGTCCCAAATGTGGAATCTCCTGCCTGTGCCAAGTGCTCTGGAAAAGAAGTTTAGTGGAACTCACAAAACATGAATCAAGCAAGCTGGCATGACGGGGAGTCCTGGCACGGGTTTTGTAAAGCTCTTTCCCAGCTGGAGAAATGGCATCATTATAAGCTATGAGTTGAACTGTTCTTTCAAGCATGTCTCGCACCTCCACGTGGCTTGGACACTCCTGTGTGGCCTGTCCAGGTAGAAAAGAGAGGGTAGGGAGAGCCCTCAGAGCCCAGGATTTCCCAGGTGTGGCAGAGCCCTGGTGTGTTTGTAATAATAAAACCAAAGAAACATACTCCCGCGTGGATGGGACCTGGGTATTCACAAGAGCCAGGTTTCTGTCCCTGGGGCTGTGTTGCTGCTTCATACTGAGCTTCCACCCAGAGCAGTTGGGCAGGGATCCCTGAGGGACTTGTTTGTTTCTGTCTCCACCAGCCCTGGGGTCTTGTGTTCCTCAATATTCACTTCTCCATTTACGCCTCTTGTTGGCCTGAACCCTTGGCCTTCCTTCCAACCTCACCACTCCCGCCTCTGTTAGACTTTGGAATCCTCTCTCAGCACCACCCTGTGAAGTGGTTGCTGGCACCGCCCATTATTCAGAAGCGGCTCAGGAATGGGAAAGCCACTGATAATGTAGAAAATGGCGAGCTGGGACTAAAACCCATGTCTCCTGGTCTCCCAGCTACCACCATTTGACAAGCCAGCAAATGCAGGTTTCGCAGACTCAGACCCTCTTTGCCAACCCACGTTCAAACCCCTTCCTGGTTCATTCTTTCATCTCCATCTTTAAGTGTCCTCAGCACCAAGAGGCAGTATAGCATGGCTGTGGCGATGTAGCCACTATTGCCCCCTGCCTGTGTGACCTTGAGTCAGTTAACCTCTCTGTGCCTCATTTCTTCACCGGTAACAGAGGGTGACTACTGCACGTACTGCGTAGGCATCAGAAGAATAAAACGATCCCTACAAAAAAAAAAAAAAAAACCTGCTGCAGAGCCGGGTAACCTTATTTCGACATGCTGTCAGGGACTGCTGTGCAGTTGAGAGCCTTTTCGTGTGTCTTTCCAAAAGCAGTGCATTTTCCAGAGAATTTTCTAGTCCCATCCTCCACCCTTCATGGGCCCAGGCTGACTCACTCCAGCAGGTGGGGCTCATATCACTTACTGCATCCCATGACCCACAACCGGGGCTGTCTGAGCTGCACTTCCGGGTCTGGACACCACTGGTGAGAATAGAGCCATGGACCAGCCGGCACGTCATTCATTCATTCGTTCTGCAAATATTTGTGTCAGCCACAGAAGAGGACTTGTCCCCTTCGTGGGAAAGAAAATGGCTAAGCATGGCTCTGCCACCTACCTATCCTCATGGCTTGAAGCACAGCCCTGTGGTTCTGTGACAGAAGGTGAAGGAATCTAAGGAAGTGGGGCTGGAGGAGGGAACACCCAGGAGCTCTGGCCGTGGGAAGAGGTGAGAGGAGTTGGAGGAGCTAAACAGGAAGGAGGGGTCAGGCTCAGGAGGTGTCCCAAGTGGTGAATATTAGCCTTCTGGGCCTGGCCATCCCCCACAGGTCTGCCCTGTGCTCCCAGACTGGTGGTCATGCCTCTCTGCCATTGATGGCCTGGCACATTCTGGGTATCCTGCAGCTATGAGTCTCTGACCCCTCAGTGCACATACCTGGTCGTTACAAGACAACATTCAAAGAAATGATTAGTATGGCTTTTAAAGATCCTTTCATTTAAAGCAATAGTCAGAAGATTCCTTAAAAATCCCTAAATCCCTTCTTCTCTTCCTGTGACCCAATCCCGGCCCTGTTCCCAACATGGGGGGCGGGGGGAGGAGGTTCCCACTGTATGCAGCTCTAGAGAGTCCTTGTGACTAAGAACCATGCCCAGTTGTTGACCTGCCTTCTAGCCAAAGAAGGTGGAGTCCCCTTTTGAGGGTCCTAAACACTCTCCTTCTATTTCTCTGGGAGACCCAAGCTCAGCATTAGGTACTGCCATGGGGACAGACAGCCAAAGCTGAGGAGTTCCCCAAGTGGGTGATTATTGAGGAGATGTGTGTGCCTGCCCTGTGCACCCTCATCAGAACAGAGGGCAGCCCTCCCAGAGGAGGTTGTCAAGGCCTATGTGAGCCCTGCCATCTGAGCCTCATCCAGGAAGAGAAGGAAGGGAAAGGGCATCTGCTTGGTTCCCTTCTCTCTGCTGTCACTTTGGGCCTACTAGGCCTCTGGGGCGTAGAGGGAACTACAAAGGCCTTCAACAATGGGGTTCAAGGACCTTCCAAGCTGGGTGTGCCTTCTCCATGCTGGAGGCAGCTGCCTAAACCTGGCCCCATGGGCCAGCTGGAGGCCAGCTCATCTACCCTCCACTAGAGGGGCCGATGCATTGGCCCACACACTTAAATACATTCTCTTTTCTCATCCGCGTTTCAGTCCTCTGAAATAGGTAAGTACGTGTAGCATTCTCAGTTTACCGCTGTGGAAGTGGAATCTTAACAAGGTAAAGAAGTTTTCCAGGTCACAGACTAGGAAGAGGCTAGACACAGAGCTGACCCATGGGGCTCCAGACTGCCTTCTTAAACGCTCTGCCTCTCTGCCTCACCCACCCTCACCAGGGTCCATGGAGGAAGAGTCCAGGCAGCCCTGGGCAAATAGGCCATGGGTGCCAGGGTGGTCAGAAAGGGCTGCTGGCACAGCCTAGAGCTTTACTTGTTCTCTTACTGAGGCATCAGGAGCGCGTGAACAACAGCCATGGGTGCCCTAGCACCATGTGGTTATCAGGAAACTGGAGAAGAATTTCTCACACAGAGGAAAATACCTCCATACTGAGAATCATAATTTAGTGTCATGCTCTGCTCTGAGAGGAGCTGCCCAGAATACTGTGTTCAGAAATCTTTCCAAAGCCAGGATAGAAGGCCAGGGAATGAGGATGGGCCTGATATCCTGTCTGAGAAGTCAGCTGGGGCCACCTCTGGCATCACTGCCTGGCAAAGAACAATCCACTCCATGGGATCCTTGGCCAATTCCCTGACTAAGTCAGTTCGGAGAAGTGTTGGGAGAATGGGAATGTGGAACAACCTCCTACACACACACACACAGTTGCACATACTCGCACCACATTCTCACACGTGCATGCTATCACATATACTCTCAATGCACTCATATGTTGGCTTGCGTGCACCCACACTGTCACACACTCACACAGGCCTAAGAGGCCCAAGATGCCTTGGGCATAGGTAACTTCATACCCTCTGGAGTGTGAGGAGTTGAGTCGGGGAAGAAGGCAGCAGCTCAGGTATGGTTGCCCCTCAGGAACCTTCCACTTCTGACCCTGGGCCTGTTGGAGGCAGATTCCACAGAGCCATCAAAACACCGGCCAGCTGCATTGTTCATGGTCAGCCAAGCAGGAGATAGAAGACCAGGTTGGTAGCACTAGAGATGGAAGAACATGGAGCAATTTGACATGTATTTTGGAGATAGAATTTGAAGATGGTGTGGAGGGGTGAAGGAGAGGATTCAAGGATAATGCTAAGATTTTTCTCCTTGAACAGCTGGTGGTGGTGGTGCCATTTTTTCTGAAGTGTAGAGAAATGGGGAAGAAGCTATCAAAAGAAGAAAACTAAGAGTTCTACTGTGGATATTTTAAGTTAGGGGATCCAATTAACCAAGTAGGATGTCGAGAAGGCTGTTAGATATCCAATCCTAGAGCTCAGGGAAGAGACTGGCTTGAGGTGGGGTGTTTGGGAGTCATCAAATACAGATATTATTCAAAAATGGTGACTGGGTAAGACTCACCTAGGAAGGGCGTATAGATAAAGAAGACTGCCTCAGACAGAGTCCTGCATTGCTCCAGCAATGAGAGGTGAAGACGAAGAGAAACCTGCACAAGAACCTGACGTGTAGGGAGTCCTCAAAGCCACGAGGGGAGATGGCAGTTTTTTGAGAAGGAGCACCAACTGTTGAATTACTGCTGTGCCCGTTGGACTTGGCCACATGAATGTCGTCAGTGACCTTGGCAAGAGCATTCTCAAAGGAGATAAGATTGCATCTGGAACACGAGGGAGAGGTGAGGACATATATTTTTGGTTTGAGTGTTTGACTGGATGGCATTTTTCAGGGATTGAGAACCCTGTAGGTTAAAAAAAACCCCAAAAACCCAACCTGGAGACAATTCAGTCTCATTCTTCATGTCTGGATCAGAAGCCCCTCCCTCCAATGCCTGTGCATCTATCATCACCATCCTAATAATTTCTTTGGAGTAATGTCCCACTTCCTTTTTTGGCTTCCCCAGTTGGGGTGTGAACTGCTTTGAGGCAGAGATTCTGTGCCACTCCTGTGTCTCCGAGCCGGGCACACAGTATTTAAAAGCTGTTAACCCAAAGCCTGGTTTTCCCTTTATTCAACAAGGCGAGACTTGGCCCCTATTGTTCTCTGAAAAGGGAGAAGAGGCTTCCCAGACACTTGGGATTTCCTCAGGGGGTGTTCATGCATGTGAGTCGCTTTCCTCAGGTCTGTACAGGAGTGCAGAGGGTGGCCTTGCAGACAGCACCATCCCCAGGGCTTCTGCCCGGCTCTGCTTCACACCACTTTGGCTAAGAAGACTCCCTAATAGAGGAAGAGCACCCATGGGGTCAGGTCATGCGGCCCCAGGCCAAGCACATCTCCGTCAGTAGAACAGACAAATGGCCACTGAGTCACCCTACGGAGTGGGTCACTTCATCCTGAGCAGGTAACCCAATCCCCTCAGCCTCCAGCCCCTTTAGGGAGGAAGCTTCTTGCTTAAAGAGTTTTCCCCGTTTCCGGCATCCTCTTCCTCCAGTTGCATTTGAAGGAAGATCTGAGATTTGGGA